CACTGTGACATATCAATCATGTCAGTTGACCAAGCGGAAATCGAGTTTTGTTTCGTGCGGCCGTCTGTCGCCAGTGTTTGGGAAGTTTTCTGGTAACTTTGCTGCCTCATCTTTGGCTGGCCGAAAAAACATGCCACCAATATGCTGCTGTGAATGAAATTCGTTAAAATCCTTTTGGCCACCTTTTGTCTCAGACATTTACATGTTGGCCTGCTCTCGATTTGGATGCTGCTCTGTATGGTTGGGTGTGGCTGAAAGCCTGTTTGTTTGGCTATCCACATGGGCTCATGGTGTGTCCTGTGCGCTGCATGGCAAGTGATAAAGGCGACACCCGGGGCAACTAACTAAAATTTGATGCTCGAACAAAAGCCGCTTGCCAAAGCCAACCAGCAAGCCAACAGCAGCAAAACCAATCGAAGTCAGTTCAAGATTTTGCGTTCGGATTTGCATTTGAATGAGAAATGAGAAGTGGACAAGTTTGAGCTTAGAATTTTATGCAGTTACCCTATGAAAGGATATAAGAAATATCAGATTGAATGGGGGAAGATATGGGCATACCTTCATTCTTCATCCTCTCATGATGTCTGTAGCGATCAAGGATAAGAATGAGTTATGAGAATTTTTGATAGTCTCATAAATAAATTTACAATATTTTTGCAGAGTACTTTGAAACGTTTCACAGCAATAATTTATTAATTATTATTATCTACTTTTCACAACAATTACTCTACAGGGTATTTGCAAGTCAGTCACATTAACATTGCTGTAAGTGTTCCAACTTGTTGTTCTCTGTTGTTGTGGCTTAGCTCAAGTGCTCGTTCGTATGGGGCTCTTGGTTTTGCGGATCTATTGTCTTTTATTTGTTTGCTTGCCCGCACAACAGCAACAACAGCAGCAACAGCAATTACAACAACAATTACAGCAACGACAGCGCACTATGAAAGTTTTTGACTATCAGCAGGCAACAATTGAAAATTTGAAATATTCTTTGTTTAATAGCGAAATTCATATTGCATTTTGCATGCTTTTTGAATGCCACAAGATTATTTAGTCTAAGTCTAAGTCCAAGGATTAAGTTTTGCTCAATGCATAGGTTCCTTAGGCAAAATGTTAATTAAAAAAGGATTTTACAGACAAAAAGTTTTTGTAAGGATTAAAAAAAATAATGTTTTCCTGTTGCTTAAAGAATATATACATCAAATAAATATTTATTTAATGTAAAGTAAAAATATTAAAGCGAAATGTCTTCATTAACATGTGGAATTTATTTGCATGCACATTATAATATGAAAAGTTTTCTTTTTTAATTTTTTGAAAAAGAAAATATTGTGAAATTATATTATTGTATATTATAATTATAGTTATAAGTGAATAATTTGTAAATCACTATGATTTATAATAAATTGTTTTTATATAACAAAAAATTGGTAAAATTGTTTAATTTTGTATTAATGCTAAACTATAACTATATTCATTATTTAATTATAAATTTATAAGTATTTAATTTTATTTATTTTTTTTACCAATTCTTAATTTTAACTTTAATAAACAAGAAAATAGCTGAACGTATCTAAAAATTCTTTGGAACTCTATTTAAAATACATTCTACAATTTTTCTTTAAAAGAAATTCTTTGCAATTATGTTATGAATTTTTTCTTAAATTCTTAAGCATTTCAAAATAAAATTATTACCGCATTGCAAAAACCTTTTGCATAAGCTAAAATACCTTTTAAGTATACAATATTTATCTTATATATTTTAATATTACTTCCTCTACAGCTTTAATAATTATATGCGATGCCATTTCAAGAGCTGCGGAGTCAACAGCCCCTCACCAAAAAAATAGTTGCTCAACTGCTGTGTGTAAAGTATTTGATTTCATAATCAAAAGCGCAATTTGATTTGGCCACAATTTAATTAAAGCTCGACTAGAAAACACCCCGAAGAACTGCCAAACAAAGGCTCCATCCGGCCCGCTCCACGAATGCGTACATGCCTAGTCCCTTATTTCTATTCCCATATCAACGACGCTCTCCTCACTCCCCCACGCCCTGCTAGAGCAGACCTTAGGGGGAGCGCAGCTCGAGAGGGGGGCAACTGTGCACCATCTGCAGGCTTCACAGAGTTTTACATGCGGCTTGAGTACATCAAAATGTCTAAAATTTCATAATTGCAACTGGTTACATTCTCCGTTGGTGTGGGAGGGGACATCCCCTTGGTCTGTGGCGCTTGTCCTGTTGGCTCCTTGTGTTTCGTTACCCCCAAACAACAATGGATGCAACCAAATGCCCGGCATCTATCTCATATGGCCAGACCGCAAAAACATTTAATTACGTTACTTTCTTCTTTGTTATGATTATTACTATTACTATTCGCAGCAGCCGCACACAAACATATCTCGATTGAGGTTACAACTTTGTGGCGAAGACGCAAAAATGCCTTGCAAGTGCTTTGGCTGAAATTTGCACAAAAAATGAATATTTTAGTACGTAGAAATCATGTTGATTTTGGGGTAGAATTTATAACACAGTTAAAATATTATTGATTATTAATATTATTATTAAACATTTTACTTGTAAATGAAATGACTGAA